GCAAACACACCGAACACAAGAATTTACAGCAGGCTAGCCAGTCTTGTTTTTTTTTCAAATGGGTACTACTAAGTTTTCCTTCATTTCTTATTTAAGTGGTCCTTTTTTTGTGAATAGAGGACATATGAAAAAAATCCCCTGCTGGTCATGTTAATAATTTACTGCCAGCAATTTTAAAAACTAGGGTCTTTTTGATTCTTCTTCTTGTTGTTAGATGCTATCAAGTCAGCTCCGACTCATAGCAACCCTATGGACAACAGAATGAAACACTGCCCAGTCCTGTGCCAGCCTCACAATCCTTGCTATACCTGAGCCCATCATTCCAGCCACTGTGTCAATCCGTCTCGTTGAGGGTCTTCTTCTTCACTGACTGCCACTTTACCAAGCATGATATCTTTCTCCAGAAAATGGTCCCTTCTGACAACATGACCAAAGTAAGTGAGACAAAGTCTGGCCATTCTTGCTTCCAAGGAGCATTCCAGGTGCACTTCTTCCAGGACAAATTTGTCAGTTCTTTTGACAGTCCATGGTACTTTCAGTATTCTTTGCCAATATCACAACTCAAAGGCATCAACTCTTCTTCGGTCTTCCTTGTTCACTGTCCAGCTCTCACATGCTTATGAGGCCACTGAAAATACCATGGCTTGGATTAGGCACAACTTAGTCTTCAAGGAAATATCTTTGCTCTTTAGCACTTCAAAGAGGTCTTTTGCAGAAGATCTGTCCAGTGCAAAAAGTCGTCTGATGTCCTGACTGCTTCTTCCATTGGTGCTGATTGTGGAACCAAGTAATGTGAGATCTTTAAACAACTTCAATCTCTTCTCCATTTATTGTGATGCTGCTTATTGGTCCAGTTGTGAGGATTTTTGTTTTCTTTTATGTTGAGATGTAATCCATACTGAAGACTGAAGTCTTTAATCTCCATCAGTAAGTGCTTCAGTCATCCTCACTTTCAGCAAAAAAGATGTGTCGTCTGCATACTGCAGGTTGTTAATGAGTCTTCCTCCAATTCTGATGTTTATTCTTCTTCATATAGTCCAGCTTCTCGGATTGTTTGTTCAGCATACAGATTGAATAAATATGGTGAAAAGATGCAACTCTGATCCACTCCCTTCCTGATTTTAAACCATGCAGTATTCCCTTGTTCTGTTTGAACAACAGCCTCCTGGTCTATGTACAGGTTCCTCATGAGCACAATCAAGTGTTGTGGAATTCCCATTCTTCTCAATGTCATCTACAATTTGTAATGATCTACACAATCAAATGCCTTTGCATAGTCAATAAAACACAAGTAAACATCTTTCTAGTATTCTTTGCTTTCAGCCAAGATCCACCTGACATCAGCAGTTATATCCCTTGTTCCACGTCCTCTTCTGAATCCAGCTTGCATTTCTGGAAGTTCTCTGTCAAAATACCACGGCAACCATTTTTTAATCATCTTCAGCAAGCTTTTAGTTGCGTGTGATATTAATGATACTGTTTGATAATTTCCACATTCTGTAGGATCATCTTTCTTTGGAATGGGTACAAATATGGATCTTTTCTACTCAGTTGGACAGGTAGCTGTCTTCCAAATTCCTTGATATAGACAAGTGAGTGCCTCCAGAGTGGCCATCTGTTCGTTGAAACATTTCAATGCATATTCCATCAATTCCTTAAGCCTTGTTCTTTGCCCACTCCTTCAGTGAAGCTTTGACTTCTTCCTTCAATACCACTGGTTCTTTATCATATGCCACCTCCTGAAATGGATGAACATCAACCATTTCTTTTTTCGTACAGTGACTGTGTATTCCTTCCATCTTCTTTTGATGTTTCCTGCATCATTCAATATTTTGCCCTTAGAATCTTTCAATATTGTAACTCAAGGCCTGAATTTCTTCTTTAGTTCTTTCAGCTTGAGAAATGTCAAGCATGTTCTTCCCTTTTGGTTTTCTACTCCAGGTTATTGCACATTTCATTATAATAATTGACTTTATTATCTGGAGCAGCTCTTTGAAATCTTCTGTTCAGCTCTTTTATCTTGTCATTTCTTCTATTTGCTTTAGCTACTCTGTTCAAGAGCAAGTTTCAGAGTCTCTTCTGATATTCATTTTGGTCTTTTCTTCCTTTCCTGTCTTTTTAATGACCTTTTGCTTTCTTCATGGGTGATGTTCTTGATGTCATCCCACAATTCATCTGGTTTTCAGTCAGAGGTGTTCAATGCAGCAAATCATTTCTTTAGATGGTCTCTACATTTAAGAGGGACATACTCAAGGTCATATTTTTGCTCTCGTGGACTTGTTTTAATTGTCTTCAGCTTCAACTTGAATTTGCATATGAGCAACTAATGGTCTGTTCTACAATCAGCTCCTGTCCTTGTTTTGGCTGAAGATATTGAGCTTCTCCATCACCTCTTTGCACAGATGTAGTCAATCTGATTGCTGTGTACTCCATCTGGCAAAGTCCACGTGTATAGCCACTGTTTGTGTTGTTGAAAAAAGGTATCTGCAATGAATAAGTTTTTGGTCTTGCAAAATTCTATCATGCAATCTCCAGCGTTATTTATATCACCAAGGTCATATTTTCCAACTACTGGTGATTCTTCTTTGTTTCCAACTTCTAAATTCCCATCACCAGTGATAATCAACACATTTTGATCACATGTTCAGTCAACTTCAGACTTCAGAAGTTGGTAAAAGTCTTCAATTTCCTCATCTTTGGCTTTGGCGGTTGGTGCATAAATTTGAATAATAGTATTATTAACTGGTCTTCCTTATAGGCATATGGATACTATCCTATCACTGACAGCATTATACTTCAGGATAGATTTTGAAACATTTTTGTGACGATGAATGCCACACCATTCCTCTTCTATTTGTCATTCCCAACATAGTAATCATATGGCTGTCTGATTCCAAATGGCCAAAACCAGTCATTTCAGCTCACTAATTCCTAGGATATCAGTCTTTATACGTTCCATTTCATTTTTGACAACTTCCAATGTTCCTAGATTTAAACTTCGTACATTCCATGTTCTGATTATTAATGTATGTTTGCAGCTGTTTCTTCCCGTTTTGAGTCATGCACATCAGCAGATGGAGCTCCCAAAAGCCTTACTCCATCTGCATCACTAAGGTCGGCTCTTCCCGGAGGAGGCAGCTCTTCCCCAGTCATATTTTGAGTGCCTTCGACCCGAGGGGCTCATCTTCCGGCACTGTATCAGACAATGTTTCAGGACTATTCATAAAGTTTTCCAGTAGTATATCAGTGTTTCACTGCTATTCATAGGGTTTTCACTGGCCAATTCTTTGAGAAGTGGATGGCCCCTTCCTTCTTCCGAGTCTGTCTTAGTCTGGAAGCTCCACTGAAACCTGCCCACCATGGGTGACCCTGCTGGTATTTGAAATGCCAGTGGCATAGCCTCCAGCCTCACAGCAACACACAAGCCACTGCAGTATGACAGACAGACTGACAGACAAGTGGTAGTCTTGATTCGTAATGGCTTGCTAATTTAGTGCTGTGAATAGGAGAATAGACTGAACTTGCCTCATTATTATGTAATGTTTTGAACAACAATTATTCCAGGGGATGCAAAGTCAATATGTAAAGCCTGAAATTAACCCAGGGGATCGTTAAATTTGAGCTACTAGAAATTTTAAGAATTCATTGGAATCCATTTTCATTCTAATGGGAACAAGGTTATAATCCTCTAATAAGCATTCACCTAAATTTCTTCTAGCTTTCTCTCTCTTAGCCCTATGCAAAAGAGTGACACTTTACTATCAGATCTTCTTTAAAAGACAGTGAAAAATTAGGTCAAAATTAGGTGAAAAATTAAGCCAAAAGTTGTGTGATAACCAAGACAGTAAAAATATTACTGTTATTGTTGAAAAGAAACTATATTAAGTTGTAGTTTGAAAGACAGAGCTGTACATCAACAGCTGGGGGGTACAAACAGTTAAGCGCCCAACTACTTGCTGAAAGGCTGCAAGTTTAAACCACCCAGAGGTACGCCAGGGGCCTGCCTCCAAAAGGTCGCAGCTTGAAAATCCCAGGAGCAGTTTGACTCTGCACATAGGAGGCCACCATGAGTTGGAATCAACTGGATGGCAACTAACAACAACATACCATCAACAAATACCGGCCAAGCATTAAGAAGTATTCCCTTTAGCCAACTTCTCCACAGTAAGCATGCTTTTATATCCTTTCGCTGTATCATCCAGAATAGCTCATTTTATTGGGTTCATAGAACAGAAGTCTGTAACATTTAATTTACTATCTAGAACTTAATGGAATTTTCTTGTGGGAAGGAGCTGCTTTCAAAAAAATCATTTAAAAGCGATAAGAAATGTTATTATATACCCTACTTTTCTCCCATAATTGTTTTATTTTAATGGAGCTGGTATCGGTATCCTTATAATATACCCATTAGTCCATGAGAGGGAAAAAGAAGTTCTATTGTATTTTAAAGGACTGAGTAGATTACTCAGTATATACTTTCTATTTAGGAAATGAAATATTAACCAATCTGTAAGAATTGACAAAATATATCAAATTAAAGGGCAAATATAAATACAGAACTGAAGGCCAAAATGGTCTTCAGTTGATATTTTCCTAAAAGGTAAGGAAAATTTGCTTATTTTCCTATACAGTTCCTGACCTGGGTCAAAACTGGGCCAAACTGGCCTTTCTGCATCATCTTAAAGTAATCTACCATTTTAAATGGAAAGGTCAGCAGTTTAAATCTTCCCAGAGGCACCTTGGAAGAAAGGCTTGACAATCTACCATCAGCCGCTAAAAACTTAACAGGAGGTTGCCATGAACTGTAATTGACTCAACACTAACTGTTTACCATTTTAAATCTTTCTGAGTCTGTAACTGGTTCTTAAAGCAATTTCATTTTTGAGATACTGATGGAGCATCTCAGAAAACCAAGATAAACTAATCTGACAAGAATAAAAAGGAATTAGAGAAAAAACAGTAATTATAGAAATGCTGTAAGATATAATGAACAAACATACCTCCTGGGCTGTGACCGGCATTCCTCCTCCCCACTGTCTGCCTCCTATAATAGGTAAGAATGAGAGAAAAATTAATGTAAAACCTGAGGTCAGCAATGCAGTTTCACTGAACTTTACATGTGGGACTATCTCATTTATGTTAAAAAACAAAACAAAACCCACTGCTGCCAGCCGGTCGATTGTGACTTATTCATGTCACCCACTTTAAATAAATTAACTTCATAAAAAGTGGCATCAACCAACTCAGGAGCTATGTGTTAATAGACTTTATTCCTGAAGGAAACATCAACAATAGCCTACAAACAAATTTTATCGATAACAAAGTGCTAAACATCAAAAGAATTAAAAGTCAACTGAAAATCGAAAAGCCTCTGAAAGCCAATGAAATATGTTACGTTACTGTTACGCTATTTCAAATGTAAATGAGTGAGCATTCTGACTACCACTGATTAATTTTATCAGGATGACCTATTAATGATTCTAATCCCCAAAGAACAACCTAAACAATGAGCACAGCTTCACAGAGTGCTCAAGATTAAATCATCATCACTATCAACATAATAGCTACCACTTACTAAGTACTTACATTATGCTAGGCACTGTGCTAACCCCTTTAAGTACATTATTAAGTATACTTATTCCTCATAAACTCAGAAGAGATTGATGGTACCATATTTCTCATTGATTCTAATGCATACATAATTTAGGATAAATTTAGAATCAATGTGAATAAAAAAAAAAGCTCTGAATCAGAATTTAATCGCAGTATTTATTCTTTCTTAATGACATGAGGTACTGCTGTGTTTAGTTGCCTTGGAGTAGGCTCAGCCTCGTGGTGACCTCATGTAACAGAATGGAACACTGCCTGGTCCTATGCCATCTTCCTGACTACTGGTATGCTGAATCCACTGTTGTGACTAGAATGTCACTCCATCTCCTTGAGGGTTTCTGTTATTTTCGCTGACCCTAGCAATTAGTTTTTCCTAATGACGTGTCCAAGGTAAGTGAGCCGAGGTCTCACCATCCTCCTTTCTAAGGAGTATTCTGGTTGTATTTCTTCTTAGACTGATTCATTCATTGTTTTGGCAGCCCACTGACCATTTACTATTCTTTGTCAACACCACAATTCAAATTCATTGATTCTTCTTCTCTCTTCCTTTGTCATTGTCCAGTTTTCACATGCATATGAGGTGATTGAAAAGACCCTGGCTTGACATCTTTGCTTTTCAAGACTTTAAACAGGTTCAAACCCACCAGCCACTCTGAGGAAGGAAGATGGGGCAATTTACTTCCATCAAGATTTACTGCCTGGGAAACCTTATCAGGGTCGCTATGAGTTGAAATTGACTCAATGGCAGTGAGTTTGGTTTTGGTTTGGTTTTCAGATTTACCAAATGCAATACATCATTTGATTTCCTGACTGCTTCTTCCATGAACATTGATAGTTGATCCACGTAAAATGAAATAATTGACAACTTCAATTTTTTCTCCATTTATCATGATATTGTTTATTGGTCTAGTTGTGAGGATTTTCATTTTCTTTACATTTAGGAACAATTCATACAGAAGGCTGTAGTCTTTGACCTTTTGTCACTAAGTACTTTAAGTCATCTTCATATCTGGCAAACAAGGTTGTGTCATCTGCATTTCGCAGGTTGTTAATGAGTCTTCTTTCAATCTGCTTCATATAGTCCAACTTCATGGACTATTTGTTCAGAATACAGACTGAATGAGTAAGGTGAAAGGACACAACACTGATGCAAACCTTTTCCAATTTTAGACCATGAAGTATCTCCTTGTTCTGTCTGAACAACTTTTTTTTTTTTTTTTTTTTTAAATCACTAGTATCTGTGCAAAATTATCTTTAGCTAAATCTATCATTGGTCTAGGGTACATTCTTGCTCGCTGAAAAATTGTCTCTTGATCCATTTATAGGTTTTGCGAGCAAAAATATTCTGGAACTCCCATTCTTTGCAATGTTATCCCTAATTTGTCATGATCCACTGCAAAAACGACAAGGAGGCTACATGTTCCGACCTCCTCTAACCCTACAAGGGGAAGACAGGATTACCAGCAGTAACCCAAGGCCTATTACTGCAAGGCCAGACATGCTGCCTCCCTCCAACCCTTTTACCAACCGTTCCTCCCAAAG